TTAATCGAAAAAATAATCGCCCGATGAATCGATTATTGAAATAATCGTTAGTTGCAGCCCTACTGCTGAGCATCAAAATGTTATTCACTAACATGTTTTAAACACTGAATTACCACTGGAATAAAAAACTAAAAAACTTTTCAACAAACAGTTGACCAAAAGAACCAAACAGAAATCTAACCTCTCTTTCTCTCAAGCGTGTTTATCTGGAAATGACAGATATTGATTGCTCTAGAGTGCAATTTTTATCATCATTACTTTTTTATTTTGCTTTTTTTTTTTTTTAATCTTCTTCTCTCCAGCTTTCTGTAGCCACCCTTGCACGCCCTGACAGCCCCCACTTTGAAAAACACTGGCCTAGGGCTGGGCCATATCATATCGTTCACGATAATACCGGTAAAAAAAGCTTGCCAGGGCAAAAAAATGATGATATGATAATTTCACGACGCAATACGTCAGGGCGCCCGCCCCTTTAGCAGAACAGAGCGCGCCAAACGACCAAACCGAACTGTGCACCCCCCCCCTCCACCTGTCAGTACTGGCGTAACACTAATTAGTTGTGCGCAATAGTAGCTAGCTAAAAAGCTAAAAACAAACAACGTGCTGCTCAGCTGTCTCTATCCAGCTCTAAACTGCAGGTACAAAACACGCACAGCTAAACTGTCTCTTGGTTCCACAGTCCATGGAGCCAGAACAGAGTCAGGTGATCAAAGTCAGGTGATCAAAGTCAGGTGATCAGAGACAGAGCATCAGAGAAATGAATCATTCCTGCAGGAACAGATGAAGCTGAAACACCACAAGCTTCAGGGTCAGCTGATCAACTTGTTCTGGAAGTTATAGCTCATTTAAAAACATTTTCTTGTAGGTTACATTTATGATCAACAGATCTTAAGCTTCATTTTATTTTATTTAGTTATTTTGGGAAACTTCACCTGCACTTTAGTTTTTGTGGTGGATTTATTGAACTATATTTTGTGCAGACTTTTTCGATCTAAATAACAGAAGGATCATTTTTATTTTACAAACTGGATTCCAAAAAAGTTGGGACACTAAACAAATTGTGAATAAAAACTGAATGCAATGATGTGGAGATGGCAAATGTCAATATTTTATTCGTAATATAGATGACAGATCAAAAGTTTAATCTGAATAAATGTAACATATTAAATGACAAATATGTTGATTCAAAATTTCAGTGTCAACAAATCCCAAAAAAGTTGGGACAAGTAGCAATCAGTGGCTGGAAAAAGGAAATTGAGCATATAACGAACAGCTGGAAGACCAACACTAATTAGGTCAATTGACAACATGATTGGGTATATAAAGAGCTTCTCAGAGTGTCAGTGTCTCTCAGAAGCCAAGATGGTAAGAGGATCACC